AGGGAGGGAGGGAGGGAGAAGGGGAGGAAGGAAATAAGAAAAATATTTCTGGAAATGTTAATTATACTCAGAAGTCAACAGATGGGAATCATTCAAGTTATTTACAAGAAAATTTTCCAGTCAGTGTGGTGTGTGTTTCTTTGAACAACTTCTTCAACCTTAATTTAAACTGAGATATTAGGGTCACTTCATGGACTCTAGGAGAAAAAGAAAGCAAAAACAAAATGTCCAATAGAGAGAAGATAACCTCATCTATGCTACGTTCCATCTCCCCGATCAATATTGTGGGAGGGAGAGGGGTGACACCAAGGGTGTGAAGTGTATCTCCATAGGTGAAAAAAGCTTTTGGCTTGATTTCCATAAAACCTGTGAAAAGGCAGCTCTGTCATTTCTGTATGTGCTGAACACACCTATATATGACGAACACATCAAGCAATTTCTGTGTACTGTCATAGACAAAGTTGGTACTAAGTGCTGACTCTTCCAAGTACCTCAACACTATAAAGCAGCAATTTTCAACCAGTGCACTGCAAGAATTTTTAAAACATGTACTACCTGACTATTCAGTCAGGGGCACTGACCTCTGTTCCCTTAGATTGTCAAATTAAAAAATGACAATAGCCAACACACCAATAGCCACCCAGTGGGAATGAATCAAAATTATACCTAATTTTTTTGTCAGATTGGCAAAAAATATAACATATTTTTTGGTGTGCCACAGAATTTTAGTAATTAGTTTATGTGTGCCATGAGAGGGAAAAGGTTGAAAATCGCTGCTATAAAGTGAAAAAGGAAATACACCCTATCTCATGGCACCTGAGATATTACTTTTCACTGACATGAGATTACTGATTTTTCCGAGATTCAAAGAGGAATTTTTTTTAAATTAACTTTATTTTTATTTACTATAACTGAAGAAGTTAACATATTATATTTTCATGTAACAAAAAGTTATAATTGATGAGTTTATATCTACATTTTAAAGGATTACAACAATTATTTTAGTGCAGCCAGAGACAATATTTGAATTTTGCTATTTTTAAAATGTAAAATGTATAATTATAATACTCAGGCTAAGTATATTTTTTTATAATATTTTAATTAAAAAATTAATTGCAGTTGACATTTAATATTTCAAAGGGTGAAATTTAAACTTGAGAAGTCATACTCGTGATATACATTTACTGAAATGATATAGACAGTTGGGATTTGAAAATGTCTTTGTTATTCAAATCTATCCTTTTAACTAAATGCTACACTATACGTTATTGACTATACATACAAAGTAACAACACAAAAATAATGCCTTCTGTGGATGTGAGTACTTTTTCCAAATCCTTTGTAGACATTTGTGTGTTGTTTTTTGATCTTCAACCTAACAATGAGTGTACCGAGACAAGAGCAACAAAATAGAGGATTAAGAAGCTTATATAAGTGCTAATAAATTATAATATTACATGAAATAAATCTTTTATAAATCACTGAGAATCAACTCCTACTTCACTTTGAAAAATTAATAATATTTCAATGGAATATTTAAGAATTATTATTAAATATTGACTTTTTTGCCAAAAATAGAATTATTAAAAGTAAATTCCCATGTCTAGGAATATATCCTAAGAATCCTGAAACACTACTTAGAAAGAATATAGGCACCCCTATGTTAATAGTGGCACAATTTACAATAGCTAAGATCTAGAAACAGCCCAAGTGCCCATTAGTAGATGAGTGGATAAAAAAGCTGTGGGACATTTACACCATGGAATACTATGCAGCTATAAAGAAGAAGGATCTCATACCTTTGGGACAGTAAGGAAGGACCTGGAGAATATTATGCTAAGCGAAATAAGCCAGACAGAGAAAGACAAACCTCACATGATCTCACTGATATGTGGAATCTAAAGAACTTAATAAACTGATGAACAGAAATGATTCAATGACATGGAAGCATGGATCAGACTGACAGATCTCAGAGGGAAGGTGGGGGTGGGGAGAGATTAACCAAAGAATTTATATGCATATATTCATAACACAAGGACACAGACAATGGTGTGGTGAGGGACTGAGGTGGGGCGGGGGGCAGTGAAAGGGGTCAATGGGGAGAAAAGAGGATATCTGTAATATTTTGAACAATAATTTTTAAAAAGTAAATATATAATATAGATCATAGATCACAATTGCCTTCATTTCTATGCTCTTGCTTGTTACAATTTAGAAAAGTAAACCATTTGAAAATGCAGATTTGTGGTGGCTCAGTGGTCAAAAATTTACACATGTTGCAATATTGAAAATATTTAGTAAAATATCCACTGCCCAGAGTGTCTATTTAATCATTTCATCTGACATTAGTTTAGTTGACTTAAAAATATAGTTAAGTTTTAAATTGACACACTTGTTCTTCACTAGTTTTGTCATATATTATTTTGTCTTAGACCCACAGGCTACTCCTGCCAGCCATATTGAAAATGCCATTGGTGAGAAGCATATGGAGTTCTGAATTAATATTAAGCCCTAGGCTGAATTCATAACAATTAGAAAATTAATTTCAAATTCATGCCCTACTGGATGCCTTACCAGCAATATACATACAGTTCATTTATTTAAATAAAATAGTCTGTTGATTGGCAAAATAAATGTAAATTTCAATGCAACCACTTTAACACAATTTACTTTTTTCAGATGCTGGAACTGCTACCACTCCTGTATTAAATTCATCAACAATTTCTGCAGCAAAAACAACTGTACCAACACTATCAGCAACAGTGAAATCACTAAATTTTTTTGAAAAATCAACAGTTGGAACATCTCCCAAAGGTAGGATAAATACTTAGTGAAATTTACTCTAACTCTAACAAATAAAATTAGTAGCTCCTATGTAATTTAATCACAGGAAAATAAGTAATTGGGACCTTATATCTATTGTTATGAAGTTCTGTGCTATTTAACTATTTTGAAACTCATGCTATTTGAATTGAATACAGAACCCTGAGATCTTAGTGGGCTTCTTTGGTAATGTCCCTTAGATTACTTCCTGTTTGAGAATTATCCTATTGTGAAAATTACATACACACAGTTTATTTTTAGAGAAGAAAAAAAATTGCCATTTCCTAAATCAGAAAAATATCTTTCTAAATATTCCAGTTCTCCACTTAAGCAGCACAGTTGACAAGGTGAAACTACATTAATAACAAGCTGATTTTGCTAGTTATATTGGGTTGATTATAGCTTTAATTTGTAGGTTTCAGTAGCAATAATGTCATCATTATTGTTATTGGACTAAGTGAAAACTGTATCAGGTTTCATGGATCTAGGTATAAAGGGGATTACCTTACCATCCATGAAAGTAAAATGAGCCATTGAGATCATTGAATTAAAAACTTCAAGAGATTATCAATCCAGTGAATACTAAATTGTCTATCCTGCAACACACATGAAATGAGGCAGATAGTTCAGGTCCAATTATCAACAGAGAGAAAAAATAAAAAATTTTGTTGATCACCTGTGGGCAGAAAACCTGCTTAGAATGCTAAGTTCACAGTACCTCCTGATGAATTGATGACTGAAATTCCCGTAGCGATCTTCATTACCTCTCTGTTCTTCATTCACCTTTTATTCCGATACCAAGCTCAAACACATGCTGAGGACTGATGAGGGCTATTTCACTGGGCCTGGATGGGGTAGTGATTCTCAGAGAAAAAGGGTATTATAAATATAGTCCACTATTTCTGAAATGTTTAATTTTAAAGTGAAACCTTAAACTCCAAGAACTTCCCTACCAAACCAGGAGAAAGCATTACACAATGAGGGCAACACATGGTATTTTATTTCCAGAATATGGCACAACCTTCATTTTCAACCGAGAGGAACTCCAAATGATATAATCAGAAAGCCAGGGCCTATGAGGCCTCCAGCCAACTCCTGCACACTATATTTTTATTTGGCTTTTAAAAATGGTCTCAATTCTTTTTCCAGGGTTTAAGTGCTCTCCCCCCCCCCCC